GAAAAGGGTTGACGCCTAAGGGTGGATTTGGACTTCAACTGCACCAAATGTTCAGAAGCTAACATTTCTGGTGTGAAAGTTGCACATGTGTGGGATCATTTTGTTGCTTCAGCAGTCATTAGAAAGAGAAGTATAACTTAAGAGTTTCTTCTTCCTGGGAAGTGGTCAGAGTCAATGGGTCTTCAATAAAATAGCTGTGTCCAAGTGGTTGTTCAAATAATCTTGGTGCTATAGCAATGTGGCAAGATTTGGCTGCACAAGCCAGTTCAAAGGGAAGGCAATGCTTTCTGCCCTCACTTGGAATGTGCAATCATTTTTGCCCTGTCTAGACACTGGCCACTGAAAACATTCATCTGGTTTCAAGCAATTTTTCATTGACAACAGCAACAACAATAACACATTGAGAAGCATGAGGATAGCCATATGCATTAGCTTCCAATGCTCATTCACTGTGCTACGTTGCTATCTGGTATTGTTGTCGTTTGCCTTCAAGTCATTTCCAACTTATGGTGATCCCAAGACATTCTCACACAGTTTTCTTGGCAAGCTTTCCTGACGAAACCACTACACCATGCTGTCTTTCCCTATACTCCAGCATAAGAGTTGCATAATAGAAGTGGAATGTCATTCTGCTGGCTGTTATTTATGCGACATGGCACCACTTTGAGATCTGGGACATTGGCTTAAAAAAAATACGGACAGATAAACAGTGAAGAGGAAAAGGTGTCAACAACAGTCTCTGCAGTTCTTTCCATTTTTCTCTGCCTGTTTTCAGCAGACCTTTTTCAAATTCTCGGCCATCACTGTGCTTCCATGTAGAAGTTTTCCAGGGCTTGGAGGGCAAATGCACATACTTACCTGGAGCATCTGGCACATCTCCAACAAAGAACGGGACTTGAAGCCCCCAATATAATATGGGACATAGATTCCCTTTTCTCAGAGGATTGCAGTGGTTTGAGCATTAGACTATGACTCTGGAGACCACGGTTCAAATCCTGTCTTGGCCATGGAGACCCACTGGGTGACTTTGGGCAAGTCGTATACTCTCAGCTTCAGGAGAAGGCAACGGCAGATGTCCTGGGAATAAATTTTGCCAAGAAAACCCCATGATAGGTTTGCCTTAGGGTCACCATAAGCTGGAAACAACTTGAGTTGAAGGCATGCAACACTTTCCAACATGACCTACCTCATAGGACTGTTGTAGAGATAAACTGAGAAGGAGGAGGTGCCATGTAGGAAAGCTCAGGGGAGGAAAGACAAGCTGTAAATGTAATTAATGAACAAATTATGATGGCGGTAGAGTGGTTAGTCGGAAAGAAATGGAGAACTGGACAGAGAATAGCAACATTTATGGGATAGACATGGTCTTGATGTACAGCTGGACTAGGATCAGTATCTTTTTGACATATTAATTAAATATCATGGATGATTTGACAGAAAAGGGTTCCACAAGCTAGTCCCCAGAGAATGTATTCAAATTGACTTTGACGGCAGCTTGTGTGCTTTTCAGATCCAAAACTTTTCATTTCATGCTGCATCACAATGACAGAGATGCAGAAAGATAGCGTCTTGTGATTTGTGTTCGCATCAGCCCCTTTATTATGGTTCTCTGGGAAAGATGTGACACACATACCCCAAGAGCAGAGTACTCTGTTCAATTTTCTCCTCCCAAAATTACCCACAAATGTGGGTGTCTTGGTGACACATGCTGCACAGAGCAAAGTCATATCCGTGGCTTTCTGCCAACATGGAAATATGATTAATTTTGAGTTACAATTCTCTGCCAATAATGGAATATAACTGGGAGAGTCCTCCTTGTGGCTTCCTTTCACTGCAAGGCTCTTGCAATGCAATTACAATGTAATTGTAATGTAATTACAATGTAATTACTCTTACAGGTAATCAGATCCTCTCTTGGTCTTCCTAACAGTCAAGCCAAAGATGAGATCTTTTAAAGAGAGAGTTGTTGTTGTTGTTGTTGTGTGCCTTCAAGTCATTTTCAACTTAAGATGATCCTAGGGCCACAGAACACTGCCTGGCTGAAAACTGCAGATCCCATGCTGCATATTTTGTTGTCACCAGTTCAAATAATTTATACAAGGAAAACTGAAGTGATGTCAAAGGCCACACCAAGTGGTCCAAACCTGCACTCCTCTGCATTTGCACCAAATGATATGTATGCATCTTTTATGGAAAGGTCAAAATACAGTTGGCCCTCCACATATGTTATATGTATAGTTGTAGATTTGTATGTAAATATGTAGGCTGTATTGATACTAATTTATGGTTTATGTCTTTTATTAACCATACTAAGAAAATAAGGAAGTATCCAGATTTATCTTTGTTTTATAAATAATAAAATAAAAAATATATAATAAAAATGATGTATGGTATGTTGTTTTGTTTATTTCTTTATTAAAAACAGTTATGACCTGTCCTATATTCAGCAATCTCAGGGCAGCTCAGTCAAATCAACTCAATCAATTTAAAAACTGTTAAAACATTTTTTTGTTGTGGTGGTGTGCCTTCAAGTCATTTCACAGGGTTTTCCTGGCAGAATTTGTTCACAGTGGGTTTGCCTTTGCTTTCCTCTGAAGCTGAGAGAGTGTGACTTGCCCAAGGTCACTCAACAGGTTTCCATGACTGAGCAAAGATTCGAACTCTGGTCTCCCAGTATCCTAGTCAAACACTCAAACCACTGCTGGCTCTCTAAAAATAATTTACATGGACTAAATACATATTAAAATCATTTACATAATTCAATAAGTTCAACCATTCAGCAAGACAATTTAAAACCAATGAAAGCAGCTTAAAACAATTTATAAACCATGCACTTGTGTGGACTTGTAAAAAACAACAACAAACAGTCAGGTTCAAAGGCTTTACGGTAGTTTTTAAAAAGCCACATTTTTACTTGGTGCCTAATGATACCAGCCCTGGGACCAAATTGGGCAATGTTCTGCAACTGATTTTGGCTGCTGGCATTTATAAAATTAGTTAGTAGCAGAATATTTCAACCTTCCTGGACATACAGTAAGCAAATTACATGTCACAGTCCTTGAAAATATTGTTTTCTGCACAGGAAAGCTGTTTCTTGCACAGAAAATGCAGTTTTCTTTGCAAAACAACCACAAGTGAATTTTGTACAGAATAAGCCCCAAACTGAGAAGATTTGGGGTTTCCATGGCTGAACAGGAATCTGAACCCTAGTCTCCAGAATCATAGTCCAGCGCTCAAACCATTACGCCACATTGTCTCTCTCTGGGTTTTATAGGCATCCTGAATTCAACATGGAAGAACACTGATCGTCCATGGAGGTGAATTAAGATCAGTTGAATAAGATTGCACCTTCCCATATCTATAAAGGTATGTGGGGTGGCATTTCACATGAGTAGACACTTCCCAGTTGTTTTCAAGGGACAGGAACGAAGCTAACAGGCAACAAAAATATGGATTAGCAAATCTGCAGAGGAAAAAGCAAAATAACAAATAAGCTGTTGGCTCTGATACAACAGATATTATTCTACACATAAAAAGGGGAGACTGAAATATGTAACCTGAACCCAACACATTTAGAACAAAATCCTTCTTCATGCACATTCTTGGGTCTTTGATCGTGAAACAGATTGCAAAAAGATTTTGTGTCGCTCCATGAAAGCATATGCCACAACATTTTTTAGCCTTTATGACAGACTTCCACAATTTGGATCCCTCCAACAAATGTGATGGGATGCAACTTCCAGCACCCCCAACCATGGATCATCTGGTGAATGATGGGGGTTGTGATACAATACATCTGGAAGGCACAAGAATAAGGAAAGCAGCTTTAAAGGGCTCAAAGTTTCTTTGCTACTTTGATTTTACTGTACATACTTCTAATACATTCTAAACACATACTTCTTTGGAATTTGTCCAAAAGACAAGCCATCTAGACCTGCAAGAAAACCAAAGAAGACTTCTCTGTATGATATAGCTGTTTCGACTTGTCGCAAAGATGATGCACTTAAGAGAGTGAAATCTTGGTTGATCTAAGAGATGTGACATATGCAAAGCACCAGAAAGCAAGATGAAAGCCAAAGAAAACAGAACCACTTGCGAATGTTTGGAATCTATTTAATATCATTAAATCAACAGCAGAGCAAACTTTGGTGGTACATGCAATCAATGCGTGTTTGAAGATCGGAGAGCTCTGTTCCTCATTATGTGTTGCATATCCCTCTCCGCTTGTAAGATGAACCTTCGCTATCTGAAAGTGTTAAGAGAAGCTTTGATTTTCTTATCATTCATAACAAGGTAGTGATGGCTGGTGGCTTCAATCTCCGTGGGCAGTGAATTTGTTCCTGGCTTTAGTACCGAACTTTAGAGCAGTGGAAGACATAGTTTGGCCACCTCTGCGGTCCCCGAAGCTCCCACCAGTCCTCCAAACACTCCATCCCATTTTTCAAAACAAATTGGCATGATGCTGAGGCAATTTCACAAAGAAAGGCCCCCAAATGCATCCCCTCCAAATACTGTCAGTTCACCCCCACAAGCATCTGCCTGTATTAATCTCATATACCTGTTTTCCTCTGTAGGCGCTGAGAAGACAGAGGGGGAAATCTGGCTTACCTCTGGGGCCTCCCAGTTTGAAGGCGACCCCGCTATCTGCACCACCTGCTCCCAGAACAGGCTGAATATCTACAGGCAGTACACAGCCTGCCCTCCTTCTGGACCTGCCAAGACAGAACATTATGCTGCACCATTATTATTTTTTCTTTTCGCCCCAAAGGCATGCACCTATGGACATGGGTGCACCTCCAGCAGCCATCAATTGCCTCCCATCTCCTGCCCAGCTGCCAGCCAACTGGATGACCCACACGACCGGCTGTGTGACCAGCGGCTCAATTACACAAGCGACTGACCACCCTATGGTGCATCTGGGTGCCCACTGACACACCACAATCATGGAGGCCCCCATGCATGCCCCCTTTGCCCCTTGGTTCCTTACATCCATTGCACTATTGGGACTTGCCATGTTTGTTTGTCATTTCACTCCATAGGGTGTTTGATGGATTGATAGTGTGATGGATCGAAGTGCAGCTGACCACTCACACATCCATGTGCTCGATACAGAGGAGGGCAACAAAAGAAAAACCTATGGTGAGCAATGGCACTGGAAGCTCCACCTCACTGAGAACAAGGTGCATGCTCCCGAATACTTCCTCCAACCACCTGGGCCTTTCCGCACACTAATGTCCATACATCAGTGCAATAGTACACAATTTCTGGCTTGAACTGGAACAAACCCAGTTACTTTGCTCCGGTGTTTACCATGGAGTGCGGTTTCATTCTAGTTTTCTCCCATTTTGGCCACATGCATCGTTTGAACGGTAAGGCTCAAAACAAGGTGAAACTATATCTTTTTGCTTGTGCAGACAGTCTCAAAATGGTGACATCATTCCATCCCTATTGTGACATAACCCCATCACTGTTTTGAGAGGAACCACGGAGAAAAATTGAGGTCTTTGGATTTGCTATGGGGTGGTTGTGGCTTGTGGAGGCCTCTGGGCAAGGAAAATTTGCCCTTGGCCACCACATAGTTGCCACCCTGCTTTAAAGGAATTATTGAAGGTGCTGAACCCTGTCCACCAAATAAAGCAATGCAAGACTTCAACACCTGGATTTAAATAACAAATAGATTCGCCACTCCACTAACATGGGAATGCATCAGCCACAACTGCAACAATTATGTCTGTGCTATTAACTTCCAGCACATGTGTATGTGTGTGTGCATACGTGTGTGTTACATTTAAGTCTCATGTTTTTGTTGTCTGCTAGGGCTACCAAGTCAGGACTAGCCCAAGAACTGAAATTTTAAGCCCAAAACTTACAATCATAGAGTTGGAAGAGACCCCAAGGGCTATTCAGTCTAACCTCATCCTGTTATGCAGGAATCCACCATCAAAGCCTTCCCTGTGACAGATGACCACTATAAGTATTCTCAGTTGGTTGTGAGACATGCACAGGACCAACAGACAGAAGCATTTCTCCAGCTCCTTCATTTCCCTGAAGATATTACAATTGAAGTCTAGAACAATAAAGTTGGGAAGGTCCTCAACTCATCTCATGCTACAATTCCAAACATTTATTAAAAAGTGTATTAGTTTTATTACTATTTACCTATTTATAGGAATTCAAAAAAGACCATGACAGACTAGAAAACTGGGCTGAAATTAATAAAAGGAAATTCAGCAGAGACAAATGCAAAATTCTATACTTGCAACAAGTATATTGTGCATTTTGGTTGGCCAATAAAGGTATCACTGATGGATTTTTATTTGAATTTGCTAAATGACCAACACAGCTACCCTTGAATGCAAAATTCTATGTTTAGGCCACAAAAAATCAATGGCATAGGTATAGGATGGCGAGTACCTGGCTCAGTAGTACTGCCCTAACACAGTTTAATCTGACTAGCAGGGGTAAGGCAAATTCTCTCCAGTATGTGAAAACAAAATAGTATAAGAAAACAAAAATAATGATCACGGAAGATCTACAAGAATTCATCCCAGATAACAAGAAAACTGAAATAGTCAAAGAATCAAATATTGATCAGAACAGTGACTGCGGTCAAAAAATTAGGGGAAAAAAACAACTAGGATTGGGAAGGGCAGCTATGAAAGAACTGGACAAGATCCTAAAGTGTAAAGATATAACTTGACTACTAAAGTAAGAATTGTCCAAGCTACTGTATTCTGCATCACGATGTACAGATGTGAGAGTTGAACTGTGAAGAAAGCTAATAGAAGAAAAATCAACTCATTTGAGATGTGTTGCTGGAGAAGAGGGCTGAGGATCCCATGGACAGCCAAAAGGACAAACAAATGGGTCCTTGAACAGCTCAAGCCCAACCTCTCCCTGGAAGCCAGGATGACTAAACTGAGGCTGTCATACTTTGACCACATCATAAGAAGGCATGAATCACTGGAAAAGACAATGATGACAAGAAAAGTAGTGGGCAGTAGAAAGAGAGGAAGACCACACACCATCAGACGGTTACATTCAGTCAAAGAGGCCAAAGGCCGGCATTTGCAGGACCTGGGCCAAGCATTGGAGGACAGGAGGTCTTGGAGGTGTCTCATCCATGGCTTCACCATGAGTCGAGGTCGACTCAAGGGTAGTTAACCACAACATATGATGTCAATGTAGATCAGGTTTGATTCACGATTCAGCAACGGATTCAATAATCCTACTAACAAGATTTGTGCCCATATGGAACAGAAGGCTGGAAAAGATAGGCCTTTGGTCTGGTCTGCGGTTGCTTTTCTCACATGATTATAGGGTTTGGGATGGGTGCATCGTAACTCAGCCCTAGTATGGTTCAAGGTGCCAGATCCAACCCCTGGCATGGCCAGTTAAACAGCTCACAGAACCAGAGTAGAAAATGCCTGGCCAGGTAGGCCAACTAGCTTTATGAGATACAAGCAAAGAGAATGATTCTCTCAGTTCTACACCATGCTAACAAGCCGTCTCGCTTACAGGCAAAACCAAGAATCCCATCTCTCTTTAATGGCTCTTAATGCTTCCTTCCCCCTCTCCCCGCCGCCTACAAAACCCCATCCATCAAGTCACACTCACCTGCCTAAAGCGTTAAGTGATGCACCAGATTCAGCCAGGTTCTCAAAAGCGAAAACCGCTCCAGGTGGAAGCTCTTTGAGTTCGTTTAAAGAGATGTCAAGTTTAACAATCCTGAGGAATGAACAAGAGGGGCAAAGGAGAGAAGGGAGGGAAGAAGGAGAGAAAGAAGGAATTAAAATGATTTCCAACCCTCCTTCCTGCCTTCCCCCATATTGACAATCCTTTCATTTCTCGAATGCTTGACTAATAATATCATCCAAGGGGCAGACAAGTAGTAACATACAGAGGCAGAGTTGGTTCTTCATGGTAGACTGACATGTTTACACTAGAAATTATATACAAGCTTTCTTTTTTTAAAGCATGCATTTCTGAAAGGGGGAAAAAAACCCACAGAGCTTGGAAAGTTTCCTTTTTTGGACTACAAGTCCCAGAATTTCCCAGTCAGCATGGCTAGTATGGCTATGCTGGTTGAAGGATTCTGGGAGCTGTCATGCAAAAATAGAAATTTCCCATGCCTGGAAACAGAATAATACAGTCAGCCATCTATATCAGCAAGCAAGATTGGAGCATCCACAGATGGCCTTGCCCCATTCTTCTTAATGGCAGTGCATGCATGCAGCCACATCAATGCAGTCATGC